TCTCATTTGATAGATTCCAAGAAATAAATGAAACTGATATCCTAATGTATGTCGAAACGCTCAAGAATGACAAGGCCTCATATGACGATGTGCCTCTATTTTTACTTAAGCAAGCTGTACCATACATAGTTGAGCCACTTACCCATATTGTCAATTTGAGCCTTAATACTGGTGTTGTACCAACCCTTTGTAAAAAAGCTAGAGTAACTCCCATCCATAAGGCAGGAATGAAAGATGATCCTAATAATTACAGGCCAATATCCATCCTTCCACTTGTAGGAAAACTTATAGAATACTTTGTCGGCAAGCAACTCACTGATTACATGAGAACAAACTTTTCATCCGGCATCAATATGGCTTTCGGAAAAATCACTCCACAACTTATTTGATGTACGATCTGATGGACGAAATATATATGAGTAAATCTAAGTCTTATAAACCAGGAATCATCTTTCTTGATCTTAAGAAGGCCTTTGACACAGTGAATCATGAAATATTGCTTAAAAAATTGGCATATTATGGAATTGGTGGCATTGCTTTAACCTGGTTTAAGAACTTCTTATCTTGTAGATATCAATGCACTAGGATCAATGGCAAACTAAGCTCATTTTTAGAAGTTCTGAGTGGTGTACCACAAGGAAGCATCATTGGGCCTATATTATTTAGTATCTTCATAAATGACATCATTTATGCCTGTAACCTATCTAAGCCCTTTCTATTTGCAGATGATGGTGCACTATTCTTTGATCAAACCTGCAGAAGCACATTTATAAACATGAAAATAGAACTTATGACAATCTTTAAATGGCTCAGTGTTAATAAATTATCACTCAATGAAAAGAAGACTGAATTCCTATTGTTTGATTCTGTTGATCAACATGATGAATTAACCATTGAATGTAATGAGGTAACTTTCACAATCAAGGAGTGCAAAGAGACAAAATATCTTGGCCTCATTCTAGATAGTAAATTAAACTTCAAAAGCCATGTAGATTATATTATTAGGAAGGTCATGAAGAGAATTGGTGCCATGTATAGAAGTAAAGCACTGCTACCCATTAAATATAGGAAAATGTTTGCCAATGCACTCATGTTGCCACAATTCGATTATTTAGACACGATCTATTGTAGAGCTGGCAAGACAAAACTTGCTGAACTTGACACTCTGTACAAAAAGGTAGCCAAAATAGCTCTCAACGTTCCACAAACAGAGAGCAGCCTTAATGTTTATAGAGACATGAAATGGTTACCACTCCATCTTAGACGACAACTCCATCTGTCAAATTATATGTTTAGAATCATCCATGACAATTGTCCTACAAACTTTATGAACAAATTTAGTTACATATCAGGAGGTAGTAGGAGCGGCGAAAGCTGCAACCTATATGTTAATAGATCAACATCACATAAAAACTTTCAATACTTGGGGGCAAAATGTTGGAATAATGTTCCAACAGATCAACGAAATCTGCCCGATGTTAAAAGCTTTAGTGATTCGTATAAGAAACAGCTACTCTCATCTATAACAACAGACCCTAATTATACCGTCGACAATTCATATGACAAATTTTACACTGCAATCATAGTCGACGATAACTAAGTATCTTCTAATTCTTTTAAATCTGAGGCATATATAATTGATGTATCGAAAGGATATTCCCTTTTTTACCACCTTACCATTCTGATTGATTTTTCACATGACTGACATGTTTTAACTGGAGAAGGGGTTCGCACAGTGGTAGTTTTATAAACCACTTTTAATTTATTGACCTATTATACCTAGTGGTAGTTTTATAGACCACATATAATTTATTAACTTATTATACTTAGTATTTATTTTTGGTGACTGTATCACCCAGTTTTAACATTTGATAATTGTACAGTTTATTGACGACACATTGACTGAATGTTATTTTATATTCTAATCTATATTCTAGATATTTTATTTATTTTTCAACAGACGACAACTTCCTGTTTTTTTCTTCTATATTAGTTACTCATATCTCTTGTACAGACTGTTTTACAAGGACATTGACAGATGATACTCACATTAGGCATTCATTATTGCATCTAAATTATTTCACTTGCATTAGGTTTAGAAATTTATTCTCTGGTTAACAGATTTCAAATGTTTAATTAATTTGTAGTATGACAGTAAGGTATATAAGAAGTTATTTAATTTTGCTTGGGCTAATATATTGACTATTGAGGTTTAATGATGATATGGAATTTGAATTTTATATAAATTTACACTATGTGGTTGGGGCATTTTGCATAGTAAATATGGTTACTACTCCTATATATCATATTATTTGATTGGTATTCGATTTCTGATTATTTCCCTAGGAATATGATTATTATATCTCAATTTGGCTTTAGGTAGGGTGCCCCGCTAAAAGAACTGGATTCTTCCAGGAAGCATCCCGTGCACAGAGCTTGGTCTACATATATATTAAATTATTAACCATTCATTCTGTATGTGCACGAAAATTTATTTCAATCAATATGCTATCCTCTCGTGGGCAAACCAGGCCCAGCCTCTCTTTTTTTTTAATTAAAAAAAACATAATAACCTGGGGTCCCCAGGTAAAAAGGTAGGTATTGGAAATTTGACTTATTGAAAAAAACGCAACGGTTATTAAGGGTGGTGCACGTGACATTTTAGGGGGTGATTACGGTTTTGAGGTACTTCCTTTAGTGAGTGAATGTTTTCAAGTAGCTTAATGTTTTAATTAGACAAAACAAATAGTACTAGTGACAAAAGATAAATCAGGCCTCCTGTACATTTTGTAATTATCACACATATAGAGTTGACATTTTAGGGGTGGTGTTTTAAAAGTGACTCCATTTCAACGTCAAAAAAATTGTACCTGATTTTATTTTCAAATCTCCAAATCTTCCTGGCAGGCTAGAAAAAGGTTTAAATATTATTCCTAGACACTTCAGATCCCTGTAAATTTAGCCCTAACTCGGCAATCTGGGCCCAAAAAACAGGTGACGTTTTAGGGGCGGTTTACCCGTACATAATTGCAAACTTAAAATATAAGGTTTATAATCCTGACCTTATGTTACTGAAAAACATTTTTTATTTATATGTTATATTGTATTATATATATAATATAAATCAAGAGGCTTGCATATAATGAACATATTGACACGGGTGCAGAGTTGAGTCTGTACGGAACCTAGTAGTTTCAGATCCTTGTTTAACTTTGCCGTACAGCAAGGTCATCCACTACTTTAGCCCGGCGAGGCACATAACTCCCTCTACAACTCCATATCAAATGTTTCATATATACTAGCCAAGTTCACAAGATATATCCTTGTGTTTGAGAAGAGCTCGTTAGAACTGCTTCCTTTCCCTTCAGTATCCCACAGTCTCTCGAGTTTCGTAACTGCCAGAGAACTCTCTTAAACAATTACTAGACTCGGTGATTATAAATCAAGAGGCTTGCATATAATGAACATATTGACACGGGTGCAGAGTTGAGTCTGTACGGAACCTAGTAGTTTCAGATCCTTGTTTAACTTTGCCGTACAGCAAGGTCATCCACTACTTTAGCCCGGCGAGGCACATAACTCCCTCTACAACTCCATATCAAATGTTTCATATATACTAGCCAAGTTCACAAGATATATCCTTGTGTTTGAGAAGAGCTCGTTAGAACTGCTTCCTTTCCCTTCAGTATCCCACATATAACATAAATATTGCAAAGCATAAATCAAAATTAATTCAATTTTTACTGAGTCTCCTTATTATTATTGAATCTTTATGTTTTGATGTTTTATGAATTGTAATTATGGTTTTACCACCGTGTTTTGGTTCAGCCGAAATAAATTTTACTATGATGTTTACATAATGTTTCTAACTCCAGCTCTAGCTGCAGTCTGGTAGTGTTGAGTCTCATGAATATTTTTCTAGCTCTCTTTTTCCATGTTTTTGCCTCACAGGAGATATTGTGGTCTTTTCTAAATATAACTGTAATACATAATACATTGATGTAAAGTTTATTTGAATTTTGAAATAAAATAATATTATTATAATATTTGTGTCGTTATTATTTGGTTTGGTTTGATTTGATCTAATAAGATCAAGGAAAAGAGAATTGAAAAGAAGTAGTGCTGTATAAGTAGCAGATTTAGACATACAATAAACAAAAAAAACTGCACATTGAATTGTCAATAGTGAATGTAATGGGCTGCATTTATCATAAATACTATTTATAATATATAGGGTTTTTGTAAATTTCTACTCAGATTTTAAAAATTGTAACCGTTTTATTTAATTTTTTGCTTGATTTGTATTGTGTTGAGGGTGTCAAGAACCATTACTGAAATTATCAGTATATATTGTTTAAATAACCTTTCTCAAAAAAGTTGAACAGCTACTGTATTTCAATTAACAAGCAAGCTGCAGATTTACCTGGGGATCTCAGGGTATCATGTTGATAAAACGCCAAATAGAGAATGACAGGCTGAGCGCGACCCAGTAAGCTGCAGATATGGACAGGCCAGGATGGTTAACATCATGGTTGTGCAGCTCATGAATGAGTTAGAGTCATCAAATTTTGGGAGTCAACTCTGTCTCAGATTCTTAATGCAATTAATTAAGTTTTAACTGCCTCGTTTGCTAATTAGCAACTTCATAAGTACCCTCAATAAAATGGCCATACTGAATGAATAAGTTCCTTATCAAGATTTTCCTCGAAATTTTTAGCACAGATTTTGAAGCATCAGAGCACATGACTTGCAAGGCAGAAAGCTGCTAATCAAAGTGAAATATGTGGCATAGATTAAAACATTAATCACTTGGTGGCCTTTAGACAGACAATATATTTGGTTTGATGTGTAAGTCATCGCTGTGATATTTGATTTTGATTGGTAAATTCTGGAGGCTGATTTGTTAGCCACTGTCACATATACATCAATATATAATAGATTAAGTACACTAATTGTCCCAATTTTTTTCACTCCTGTTTATCAACACCTCAAATTTTCATCAGGAAACGATTTTATGTTCATGCTTTGTTAACATGTCAATTGAATGTGAGTTGCCTGTTATCGAAAAACGTGAGTAACTGCTGCATATTGTATATTTTTTGTTTATATCAGATAGCTTCATAAATAATGTCTTTCTTTTCCATAACCACAGAATACAAGTTAAAATTATGGGAGACATATCCAGATACACACGCACCATGCATTCAATACAACTACCTTTTAAATACTTCTCCAACTTTTACTATTATTAATAGCCTATTAAATAAAAGCAATGAACACTTACTCAACAGGTCTTGCCTATGATGTCAACTATTTGAAATATCTGCTAAAAGATGTCACATTTGTCAGCTATTTCAACATTTTCCTTAATCTTCCTGTAAGTAAATCAAGATTAAACAATATACACTTATACAGTAATATCCCCATTTACTGCGGTGTTTGGGAGAAAAAGCCGTGGTATATTGGGGTTTGAGGTAAATCAGGGTTTTGATCGTTTAAATTAAGTATGTTAAGCCATATTTGGGCGATGGCATGATCGCGGTAAATCGGGGCACGGTAAATCGGGGTATTACTGTACATTAAATATTGAATTTTAAACTGAATCAAGTCAATTAAGAGGTTCTACAATCCAAAAATGAAGTTATGCAAGTATGTTATCACAATATATTTCTCTGAATTAATGATGGTTAACTGAAAATATTAATTGAATTTTCAGATACATCCACGAAGAATAACCTATGTGCCTGCTACCAAAACATTTACTGTTGAACCAGTTCTTATGAGAAAATATCTCGTAAGTATTCTATCCAGTATCCAGTATCCAACTGACTTGTAACATTTGTCACTCATACTATTTATAGCATTTGTGCTTGTTTATAATTCAATCAAACAAAAATGTATTGATTTAACTAACATAATACAATTCTTACATGGGAATTTTTGTAAAATGGTCCTAACAAGTTATAGTATTGATAATAAGGAAATGGTGTAAAATACCTCAGTTTGAAGTGTAATTATTGTTAATCTTACAGGATAAGTATAGTTAATTTTCTATCTCTTTCAGCATACTCATTATGGAAAGCTGTACACTTGGTTATGCAAGAAACGGCTACCGATGTTCACTAAATCACACCTTTTCTTTCATTACCGTCTCTGCAAAGAGTTGATTATTGATAACCCGATACTTGAATCCTTCAAACTTCTTGAAAAACAATGTAAGAGTCAACAACCGTTCATGTAAACTCTATCGTTCTTAGACGGTAATGTTTACATTGGATCTTGATTTTGCATTGTCAATTCAGAATTGTATACCATTTAATCGTGGTTTTATCCACCATTATTTTTTCTGATCGAATTTCTATCATTTCAGATCCAGACGTCGCCCCAATCAGGGATATATCTGGGTTTTATAATTTCCATCACTTCATGCTAGAAGGTGGTGGTGGTAGTGCCATTATCAGCTGCTGGCTCGATATTGAGACCTTACACTGTCTTCGTGACGAGGAGAGGGCCAAGTTCCTTGAGGATTTTTTCGATAATTACTTGGTATTTATCTTCTTAGCTCACTGAGACAGCTGAATATATGAAACTTGTTCAAATGTTATATTTAATGCATCTTATTAAATGCGTTATCTTATCAGTTGTACTTATTTCTATTGCTGCTCACGAGTCTTCACGAAATAAAGTTGAACGAATTAACAAGTTGTAACCACTTCTGTCTCAGTAACTAGATTATAACCCATTCTGTTTCAGTATCTAGATTCACCCAGAATGATATTCGACCATTATCGGAATGTTGTCTTCCAACAAATATCTAAAATATGCAAGGGGGTTCGATTTGTCAAACGCTATTGCAAGGAAGAAAACGCCTTTTTGCAGGTACCATATTATGTGTATTATGTGGTGATTTTACCTTGATACATGGGACAACGATTCTTAGTCAAATTGGACAATTTATTAAACATACATCTCCATAAAAATCATGATTTTTCAGCAATTCAAGGACAAACTGTTAAGAGAGAAACGTCTGTTCAGGCCCTTACAAGCGGTGTTAACTCTGGATATGCGCTCTTACTGGCTTAAGAAATACTACACATACTTGTCTACAAGTTAGTTTGATTATCTGCAGTTAAAATCTCGGAAATTATGCCTCACACTTTAACATTTTGGAAGACATTCCATATTCTTTTGAAACGAAACGAAAAGAAAAGCTTCGAAAAAAGTTGTTCAGATGAAAAAAATGGTATTGGTGACACTAACTGATATAGATACCTAATAATAATAGATACCTTTAAATACTACTATATATAATACTATACAGGTCTAGCAGAGGATCAGCCGTCAGTGAGAATAACGAGTAGTCTCGCTAGGCTACTTCTCAAGACACCACCCACTACTGGAACTACTGAAAATGAACCTGATACAGGTCAGTTTATCTTATCAACAGTGATTTTCAGCTGTATAGATGTCTTGGTTTTGGGACTCTTATAAACTTGTAATCAGGAAAAAAGTGACATATAAGCTTTCAATATCTAAGATAGCTGGATTTAAACGTTGATAAAATACAGCTGTTCTTTGACAAATTTACTCTCAAACAGAAGCTGATCCAGCACCAAAACATATAACAGTCAAATTGTGTACATCTAACGGTCTCAGGAGAACCTCCCAGATGGTTTACAGTCATGAATTTGGAATGGATGTCCCGTCAGGTAAAAATTAGTGTTTTCAGAAAGGATATACAATTATCGTCTCTTTTAATAATTTCCAAAAGATTTTGTTAGATAAATATTCATTTAAAAATGATTTCAGTAATCTGCTTCAAAAACACAGATAATAAAATGATTTTTATTAGATGAACTTGCTGAGAAGCAAGTTAGTAGGACGGAGGAGACGATGAAAAACTTTGTTGCTAGGATGAAAGACGATTGTGTTAAAAACAGACGGCGTGCCACGGTAGATATCGTGAGTAATTTTTTCCGTACAGTTTTCCAAAGGTACTTTTATGTCTTAATTACATTTCTTTCACTTAATCAATTAACATTCATATGAGTGAGGAGTTAAGTTGTCATTACAATGAACTTCAGTCAAGCGAGGTAGAAGCTGTAAGAGCTAGGAAAACGTCTACAATTAACGAAGATATAATTGTAAATACCAGCCCAAGTTTCCAAGTCCCCAACAGAAAATTCTCACTTTTAGAGGGTAAACGAGACAGATTATCCTCCATAAGTGAAACCCGAAAAACTGGTAGGTTTTCGTCTAATTCAGGGTTTTTTGAGTAATTTATCAGACCGTCCCAATTCTGTTCGTATACAATGATTTATATACAGTGGGACCTCTTAGATATACCGTGCCTCTTTTCTCTATACTGGGTACCTCGATATACTGGGCTTCTTCTCTCCCCCCCCAACATTCAGTTAATTAGCTTGTATTGTACAAGAAATGTGATTTATCAGTATATCATAGTTCTTATCGCTTTTTCCCATTTCAGGATCAATATCGTATAATAGGTCTCAGAAAAACGATTCTTTTGATGATCAAAAAGAAAGGTAAATTCCTTAAAACTCTGAAATATCGGCCACTTGTGAGATGTCCCGAATATTAAATTCTGTTCGGTTATAAAGATTAATCTTTATAAGATGTAAATAAATCTTCACGCAATTATAACTTTACAGGATGGTTCAAAGATTACAAAATGGGCGGCGTCCCAGCGGGCTTACCACCAGCGTTATTAGCACCACCATCAACTGGTCTCGACACAAAAATAGTCGGATTAAAGGTTTCTCTACTCTAGCGACATTTTCTGGACATTTATTGAAAATCCATTATTTAATAGTTAATAGATGATTTTATTAGTAAGGTTGATGTTTTAGGTTGTTGATCTGCTAGTGAGAGGCCACTTGGTAAGTCTTTTCAAGAGAATTTCGCGGATTGTTTACTGTTTAGGGTTGTAATAATATGCATATATTCTTAACTTATTCTACTTTTCAGAGATCATAGTTGAGCAGTTTTTGCAAGATGAAATTGAGCTATTCCGCTGCTGTCCCTGTCCTCTAAGAGACGAGATATACATGGTGAGTAAATATGGTGAGAACACATGGTGAGTAACACAAACAAGTGAGAAATGAAGCTAACTGTTTGTGATGACCCGGTTACTGTTAAGTCACTACTTTTAACAGGAGAATTACTGTGACGCCCTAAAACAAGTGTATAACGAAACAAGTTTGAGAGAAGTGGATATCAACCATCTTCTGGAGATTTCTATTGCAAGTGACATCGTTGGTGGTGGTTAGTAACAAATTATTTTATATTTTACTTCATTACCAGTTATTACAATTCATGTCCAATAAAAATTTCGTGTATCACTGAAGCTAGATTGAGTGCTTATATAGGCTATAGCTGGAAAGTGACGTCAATTTGTGTGATAGATCTAATCTAAAAATATATATTTTAATAGGCGCACATAACTCTCAGTGTTCACAATTTTTTAGAGGATTTCAAAGGTTTTCTTTCGAGAAAAAGTGACAAGAGATCACTCTTCAACTACGAGTTCTGGGCTGCAATAGAGACTTTCAGCTACAAATACTCAACGGATCCCTCTAGAATGTTCTGTGCCCGAGGACACGCTATGGAAGTTGTTGGAATATTCTCGGAGCAAGAAAACGTCTCCTTTGATTGGAGTTTCAAAAAACGTAAGTTTTGTTTTTAAATAAGATATAGTTGTATCGATACCAGATATGAATTCTGCAAAAGTTTGAAATAGTTCTACTGTTGTCTGTTTACACTTTACAGCAGATCACAGATGAACTGATTATTCTCACTGTGCAGTGTGCAAAAAATTATCACAAAAGTTTGACACAGTTGGGATCTTTTTATGGAATGCGCAAACATCTTTTGCCATTATTTTAGCATTTACTACGACATAAATAAGCCGCGCGCGCCATGTTAAGCTAGCAATTAATGGACGAGTCATCGTATAGTGCGTGCAGGCCCTTCCACCCAGTAAGTGGCGTAACGTCTAACGAAGGGCTCCTCTGGACGCCGAGTGCTGAACCCGCTGTGCGGTCGGGCGCCATCTTAGGAGGGCGCCAACATGCAACGTTACGTCACTGCTTCCACTTTCTTTGTTCATCATTCATGGTGAAGGAAAAAACGTTCGGGTGGCGCGAAAAACGTTGTAGAGGCCAGAGGGCGGCAAACAAGGTCTGATATTAGGAAAATTAGTGGAGGCGGTAATCGGCACAAAAATATGTTTTGCCACTGAGGCCCTTAAATCAATTATTTACCCTCACAGCGATTAAAGATTAGCAACTGTTGAAGTTGTTGCAGTTTACAGTTTACACACTCATATACAATAATTTCAGATGGAATGATCAATTTCCCTGTCAACTTGGAAAATCTTGAAAAAGAAGTTCACTCACTCTTGTACAAATTCACTCATCCTGACGGCAGCAAGTAAACACATTTCACTACTTTTGGTAGATTTTAAGCGGAGTCCAAACTCCAAAAGTTATTTTAGTAAATTGAGGAGATAATCAGACAATCGTATGGCGTATGCAAATAAAATCATCAAACTTGAAACTATATGAGCATAATCACATATCCTACTCTTAAACCACGATTTGACATCTTCGGATAAACCATTTTTCATCCTAGAAGCAAAAAACGTTCATACAAATTTTCCTGTTACCCAAAATAGTCCGAAAACAAACATTATATTATACAGGGTGGGCCAAAAGTCAGTGGGCATACGTTGGCCTAAATAGCTCAGTCACTAAGTGCCCAATTGAAATAATTCTTTCTGGTATAGACTTACTACCACCACTGGTTCGAGTTAGGCCTTTAAAAAAATTTGGCGGCCAAATTCTGAAAAATGCCCGGCAAATTTCAGAATTTGGCCGCCAAATTTTTTTAAAGGCCTAACTCAAAATTCCATATTAAAACTTAAGGTCGAAATGCGATTCTACGTTGATTCTGAAAATTTCATGTAAAAATATTGAAACCCTATTGAGTTCTATTGTTTTGAACGAAATCAGTTTCGCAAATATCGCGAACTGAGATATGGGCGATTTTGTTCATTTTTTGCGATTAATTGAACACAGAATCCACAGTTAGGTAGATACTGAGCTGATAATCATAGAGAATGTGTAGTATAAGCTTACCTTTCATATAAAGTTGGTTTCATTCAAAAATATTGATATTTGACCAATTTATGGGCCAAAATCGACCAAATCTGGTGCGTATACCCAAATATGGGCATATAGTTTTTGGCTCATAACTCAGCCATTTTTTGTCCAATCTTGATGAAAATTCATATACGAGTTCAGGGGACCACTAGCTACAAGTAAAGCACCTAAAATCTGGGTTTTGGGCATGTTGAGGGTATTTGGCTAAATTGGGCCTAATTTGGACCAAATATGGGCGTGGCTGCCCCGCGGGCACCGTTTGGCGGTTGGGGTCCGGGACCCCCTCAAAAGTTCGGTCACCGGTCCTAGTTTGTTGGTCAACTGCTATCTCGAAACCAAGTTTCACAAAAAAATCAGGGTGAACCCCCCCCCCCCCTTAATAGCTCCGCCGTGTTTTATATTTGATAGCTGTTGCTTTGCAGATGGCATTCCGTCGTCATGAGGCAAAACGGATTAGAAATGACGAAGTTATCAAGCATTTTGTGTATCTCGTTAACAAAATTGACTGGGTGATTATATGACACCGTGACACGACACCTTAATTGGGCACCCTTAACAATTCCCATAATGTTTAACGGGTGGTTAACGGGGTCACCTATAATTTTTTCAGGACAAACGTAATTCGAATGGCCAAACACAATTTGGCCATGATCGAGCTTAAATTTAGCTTGATCCGACTATCTAGTATATCCACACTATCAAATAATATAAATGCAAAAATGAACCTTCATTTGAAAAAAATGAACTCGAATATTTTTCGATTTGTCAAATTCTTCGAACCAGTGGTGGTAGTAAGTCATACCAGAAAGAATTATTTCAATTGGGCACTCAATGACTGAGCTATTAAGGCCAACGTATGCCCACTGACTTTTGGCCCACCCTGTATAATGTATATAAACTAATTCACCCAAATAATAAAAAGCCGGAAAAAAAAAGATCCAAATATTACAAAAAAACTATAACACTATGGCACACCAAAGGACAAAAATAAACATGGCACCAGTCCAAAATACGTGTAAACAAACTTACCTGAGTCTCAACTCAAAGTCAGTCTTAATTGCTAAATCGTACGAAAAATATATTTTCTGGAATACCACGTCAAAATTGATTGGCGGATCGAATCCCTATTGGACCAATCCCTATCTAGTATCGCTTCCATTAACCGTAACCCAAATCCTAACTCTAAGCCTATTCGATCCGCTTACCTCAAAATATGATTTCACAACTACCCAGACCGAGAGATCACTGGAACGTAAAATCTATTTTTTTGTCTCAATGTTAACTTTATCGTAGGAATCAGCCCCAAGGTTCGTCTCAACATAAGATTCAGTGCCAGGATTCATCTCAGCGTAGGATTCGTTCACAGGATTCATCTCAACGTAGAATTTGGTCGCAAGGTTCATCTCAACGTAGCATTCGTTCACAGGGATCATCTCAACGTAGGATTCTTTCACAGGATTCATCTCAACGTCGCATTCGTTCACAGGATTCATCTCAGCGTAGGATTCGTTCACAGGATTCATCTCAGCGTAGGATTCGTTCACAGGGTTTATCTCAACGTAGGATTCTTTCACAGGGATCATCTCAACGTAGCATTCATTCACAGGATTCATCCCAGCGTATGATTCGTTCACAGGATTCATCCCAGCGTAGGATTCGTTCACAGGGTTTATCTCAGCGTATAGCTCCTCTTCTTGAACATGGTATACCATAGCAATGGGAACATTTCTTACTACTCCTGTCTCACCAGATCGGTTACCTCTGTTTATCGCCATCAAGTCAGGATCTAATCTGTTGTAGACAGGTTCTATTTCGACACCCTCGTCTTCAGGAGATCGAGAGTTCTGTTGAGAAAAGTGACGGACTAATTTTATCACGCCAACACAGTTCAGGACTATAATCACCAACAAGCCACTCACTACTGCGGCGATTATTATGAGAGCTTTTGAACTAATGCCTTTCTCATGGATCTCGTCATCTTCTTTCTTTACTCCCTCCTCTACACCTTTATCTTCTTCATTTTCTTTGTTATCATCAGTTGGTTTCTCTTCCTTACCATCAGTTGGCTTCTCTTCTTTTCCATCAGTTGGCTTTTCTTCTTGAGCAAGTTTGGGTATCCTTTTAGTGCGTGTAACATTAATTTCACTGTCTGATGTTAATGATACTGTGCACGTGTAATTACCTGATTCTTTTCTAGAGGTCACGTTGTGTAACATTGAAGTTTTCATCAAATCTCTCAGCTCTGTTCTGTTATCCTGGACATGGTTACCATTATCTGTCCACGTTATAGCCATATTCTCATTCTCTGCTATACTCACTGCACTACATTTCAGAACACTAGTTTCATTGTTCCATTCTAGTTCTGTTATCACTGGTTCAGAACATGGACACAATGACAACGTAAGTTTATCTCCACACCCTGTAGCTGATAAGTTTCTGGTTATTTCCTCTGGAAAATATTTGCTCCCTTTTCCTTCTAACAACCTTTTCGATGGCTCCACAAAGTGCGTAAGGAAATTTTCGTCGGGTTGTAATTTTACATAATTAGACTCCCTTTTTGTATAATCGTCCGTATAATAATAAGCAAACACGGTATCTTCCAAACGAAACTGTATTCCTATAGTCATCACTGCATCATATGATGATGTTAGGTCAGTTATTGTTGAATTGACCAGAGTTAATGGTTTGATATTCTGGTGAAGAGTATGTGTCAGCAGCAATTTCGCCTGCATTTTCACAAATTCCATCCGGAAATTGGAGGCATCGTTTTTTCTATTTGAAGTGCACTTCAATGAAAGACTGCAATTTTCTTCTACGAGTCCATTCAGAACCACCGTGTTGACTGTTTCAAGATCAAAATTCTCTATCGCACCCAGTTCAAAACCACCCGATCCAAGTTCACTCGATGAAATGTTATAACAGTTCTCGAGAGTGCAAAATGCAAAAATGTTAAAAGGAGATGCCAGCAGTAAAACACAACAAAATAGTCTCATGACTATTAAGCTGTGTGGTTCTCAATCTGTCACTCAGTTGTAGTTTCCCACGGTCGAATCTTGTTACATGCTTTTATTTGACAAGTGTTTAGCAGGTCCCAATTATCTTTTTCCCGTTTACAACTACATAATCTGCCAATCATTTATCTAAATTAAAATTGATACATCTTAAATTTGAATAGTGCAAGTATAATTTGGCAATCCTGTATTATATTTATATATAAAACATAGTTACCTCGACACCTAAAATGCCTTCCAACTTGGTGGAGAGGTGAACTTCAACCCTTAGTGACTGTTATTGCGTTAACTAAACAGTAGGGATCAAACAAAACAAAAAACAAGACTCAACCACATTTTGCATTATATCAGACACTGATAGGGCTTAAACTTTCAATACTCAATGATCAATTTGGGTAACTTAATAGTTAATATAATGTCAAAATGTATTATTAATTACAGTGGCGTAAAGTTGCTTGTTGCTCCCCTCCCCCCGCTGAAAAAGCGCCCCTGTTGGCCCCCCTCCCCTATTGGCACCCCTCCCTGAAATTGAAAAAATTAGATGATTTTTGAGGATACACCGGTAAAATCTCTAAAAAAGTGTGTTTCTAGAGCAAAACGCGCAGTTTTGCTAGTACTGTAGACCGTAGTTAAGTTTTTCCAAATTGTCCCACATTCAAACGACGATTGCGCGCCTCCCTAAGATGGCGCCCCCCACCCCCATTCGTTACGCCACTGATTAAATATATGATATCATGACGTCGTGGATAAGATCAGAAATCGTAATACGTACATATTCCGTCAAATTCACAGACTGGGATGATCCTTTTACAGATTCTCTGTGGTTTGCCATATTAATGGTCACAGTGTTCAGGAGTGGCATTCGTTCACAGGATTCATCTCAACGTAGCATTCGGTCACAGGATTCGTCTCAGCGTAGGATTCGTTCACAGTATTCATCTCACCGTAGGATTCGTCTCAGCGTAGGATTCGTTCACAGGGATCATCTCAACGTAGCATTCGTTCACAGGATTCATCTCAGCGTATGATTCGTTCACATGATTCATCTCAGAGTATGATTCGTTCACAGGATTCATCTCAACGTAGCATTCGTTCACAGGATTCATCTCAACGTAGTATTCGTTCGCAGGATTCATCTCAGCGTAGGATTCGTTCACAGGATTCATCTCAACGTCGCTTTCGTTCACAGGATTCATCTCAGCGTATGATTCGTTCACATGATTCATCTCAGAGTATGATTCGTTCACAGGATTCATCT